TGACAGAATCATTCTTCCCCCTTTTCCCTCACCCAGTGCATTCCTGGTAGGCCTCTGGGTTCATTTCCCAGGGCTGCCATAACAAATTACCATGATTTAAAGGCAAAGGAATTTTTTCACTGACAGTTCTAGAGGCCAGAACTCTGAAGTCGCGCCAGTATGGTGAGTTCCTTTCCGAGGGCTTTGGAGAAAGCCCTGTGTTCTACACCTCTGAGTCTCAGGAAAGTTCTAGCTCTTGTCTGAGTGTGTGGGCCGGGGGGGGGGGGGGCAGGAAACAGTCACTGAGGCCCACAACCTTCAGGAGTTTCTGAAGACTGCAATGCACGGTGTCCTCAGCTGATGGACTACCCGCCCCCATACTTCTCTGGTCATGTGACACTGTTATCACTCTGTGTCTGTGACCAGATGTCCTTCGAGAAGCACACTGGTTGTTGGAGCAGTAGGCTGTCGTCCCTTCATGCAGCAATGATTTCGTCTTAAGTTGATGGTGTTTGCAAAGGCTCAGCTTCTAAACAAGGTAGTGTTCACAGGTGTTAGGAGTCAGATGAACACATCCTTGGGGTGGGGGAAGCGGTTCGATCCCCAACAGACTCCAAGTCCTGGCCAGTTTTTCCTTTCTTCACTAGCCCTTTCCTGATCTGTCTCCCTAGATTGCCTGAGCTGTGACTCTGCGGTGTACTCGCGAATCACGGTACGTCATCTGCTCTAACTTGCTGGAGGCCATTAATTTCTAGATAGGGTTTTGATATGTGGCGTAGGCTAGCCTTAGATTCATGAGCCTCCTTACTTTAGCGTCGTAGGGATGGGATTACAGGTGCAAGCTGCCACATGTGTTGTTACTATTCCTCTAATGGTCTCTTTCCTCGCTCTGGGCTTGGACAGCCTGCACCATACTCAATTTCTCCTTAATATCTGGTGTATCACGTTACATAGGAACATGGTACATGTATGTGTGCCATTCTGATGCACAGGGACACCTGCACCCTACGTACATGTCAGACATATATATCATACATATACATGGACACAAGTAAATTTATAAGCATGTGCATGCCAGTTCTTAAATGCAGTCTAGAGGGTTCCAAGTAACCAATCAGTGTTGGCTGACTTCCAAGAAAGCACAGCCTTCACCAAGTGCTGTGGGGGAGGCAAGGAGGGGTCACCTGTGATCTCCTGCCCTCGAGAGGCTAATGAGCTAACTGGAAAAACGAGACTAATACATGACAATAGATCTTCAGAGTCCAGTTCTATGGTGTAAGCCACGAGGGTGAGAGACTGGAGCTGTCGCTGGCTGGGGCAGTCAGGGGATGCCCCAAGAAGTCAGAGAATAACATCCACCTTCCCGCCAGCCTCAGGCTGTGGGGATGAATGCAGAGCTCCAGTACCTTCTAGAAGGGTAGGGTTAAGCCCTATGATTGGTCCCATGAGCTGGCTGGCCCCTGGACCTTTAGATTGCTGTTCTTTGACCTTTCCCAAGGAGTGATAGGTGATAGGCTGGCAAAAAGTCTTTGTGATACTTCTGCTGGCAAAGCCTCCCCTGCCAGCTTCCAATGACAAAGAAATGGCTAACGGATGGGAAGAAAACTCCATAGATCCTTCCCACCCTCTTTGCTCTGACGTCATAACATCCCTTAAGACGGTTTCCAAGGACTCTAGCTCCCTGGTTTCAGAACCCCAGCAGTAGCGCTGTTCAGCTGAAGCAATGGGGACATTTTGGGGTGGGGAGGGGTCCTAAGAATCATGCCCATGAAGTATTATACAATCTTGGGAGCTCTGAAGCCGGATAGATTCCCACTCAAACCTTAGTCCTTTTCTTGCTGTGTTTTCTTGACTAAGTACTTAACCCCTCTGAGCGTCCACTTCCTCAGCTGCAGTAACTGTAGTACTGTCCACAAAGTTCCCGGACTGCAGTAATTGCAGTACTGTCCACAAGGCTCCCAGACTTCAGTGATTCTATTCAGCAAATAGAAGCTGTACATGACTGTCTAAATTCTCCGGCTCCAACTGCGTTCATATGTCTAGCTGAAGTACAGACAGAGCCCAGGATACCCACTCTCGACCCAAGCAGAAAAACCTCTTCTGCACACGAGCCACTCAGTGTGCAACAGCCTAAAGCCCTTTCTCGGCTCTTGCCACAAAGCACAGCAGTGACCCCAAATCTCCCTGTGAGAAGTTTGCTCCTCAGTGATGTTTGCTGATGGAACATAAGGACGGGAAGGGGGAATGGGCAAACCTACCATAGTTAAGACTGACTCGTCTCATGGGCTGGGTAGCGCTGTAGCTCTATGGATAGAGTGTTTGGCTAGCATGCAGAAGGCCCTGGCTGTGATCCAGAGCGGCACATAAACCGGAAGTGGTGGAAGCAAGAGGTTCAGAAGTTCAAGGTTATCGCTGGTTACGTACTGAGTTTGAGGTCAGTCTGGGCTACGTGAGACCTTGTCTCCAAAACAATGCAAAACAGTCACCAGTCTTAGGGACACTGGACTTCATTGGTTGGCCAGCAGGTGGCCAACGTGACAAGCACCATTTGCTTACCCACCTCAGGTTTTGGGGAGGGAGCAAGCTTTTTTGTTTGGTTTTGTTAGAAATAGTCATTTGAGCTGGGTGTGGTGGTGCACGCCTTTAATCCCAGCGCACAGGAGGAAGAGGCAGGCAGATTTCTGTGATCTTGAGGCCAGCCTGGTCTATAGAGTGAGTTCCAGGGCATCTAGAGTCACTTAGTGAGACTCTGTCCCAAGAAAAAAGAAAAGAAAAAGAAGTAGCCATTTGTCCTCTAGGCTGAGGTATTGTCCTGAAGTGTTTGGGGAGGCTATGACTGGAACACAGGAAGCCAGCGTGAGCCCTCTATCACTCTTTGTGTCCTCTCTAACCTTGAAACTGTCCATTTCCTCAGACTGGAAGCCTTGGGAGTTTTGAGAAATCCCTGAGAAGAGAGTGAAGTGCATAAGAAAGAGAAAAGAGTTTGGGCCAGAAACGGACCAAGCCTGACGATTTCCAGCTGCAGGGACCTTCTTGTCCCTGTCCCTACATGTGCTTCTTGCAAAGATTTTTCTAGAACTGAATGTGATGGCGTGCAACACTAATCCCAGAACTTTGGAGGCAGAGGCAAGAGTATTGACAGTTCAAAAGCAGACTGGACTACATGGTGAGAGCCTGTCTCAAGAAAGAGAGAGAAAGGGGTTAGAGTTGGCTCTGTTCACGAAGCAATAGCCTCTCAAGTGTCAAGGCCCACATTTGATCCCCGGCATCCATGAACAAATGCAGCGGCACACGTTTGGAATTGCAGCACCACTGGGGAGGTAGAAACAGACTAATCCCTGGACTCCATTAGCTGCCCACCCAACCATTTTCAGTGAGGTCCAGGATAATGAGAGACTCTGTCTCAGTGGGTGAATGGCATTCTTTAAGATGACCCCAGGGTTGTCCCTTGCCCTCCACACACACACAGGCAAACAGACACATGTACACACAGACACACACGCACATGTATGCGTGCGCGCACACACACACAGAGACACACATACACATCCCTGGAAAGGAGAGGACAAAGAGGAGGACCTCCTGTAGGGAGAAGGATAGGACAAGCCTGGGGCTGGCAAGGTCAGGTGTTTCCCTTGAAGCTTCAGTGACAAGGTGTTGGGAAATTATTCCCTTAGGACACCTTGGTGACTCACCGAAAAACAGCTCATCAACCACCTAAAACTGAAGCCAGCAGAGAAGAGGGATAGACAACGGCCAGATCCTGAAAGACTCTCTGTTTCTGCTTGCTTTGCCAGTGAAACAAGGGACCACCCTCCCACAGAGGTCAGAGGGCAATATGATCCAGCTCAGGGAGGGCTGGGAATGGAAGAAAGGAGAGAATGACCCTGCTGGAGGGCTTGCCAGCCAGCCAGCCAGGTGACCTCCGTGGAGAGCAAAGGGCAAAAAGAAACCACAAGTGGGAAAGAGGGGCAGGTGGCAGGGCAACAGGAAGGGCATAGAAGGTACAGGAGAGCAGACATGGAACCAAAGCCGGAGACTCAGAAACCCAGGGTCCCTCAGCCATGCCCTCCTGGCAGGCCAGTGAGAGACGGTAGCTTGGCTCAGACTTCCTAAGCTCTTAAGCTGTTGTATATTGGCACTTATTCATGCCAACCCAAGCAGACGACCACAGATCCTGAGGACTGGGGACTCCAACATGGACGCTCCTTGCACCCACAAGCTTAGCTAGCTGAAGTCCTAGGAGAGCTTTGCCCCAGGGTCTCCTACAACTTAGGGAGCATGGGAACCCTCTTTCTAGCTTCTCTCTCAGGAGCCAGACCCTGGTTCACAGAGAGGCCAACTAGGGCAGCTGGAGGCAGGCCTGCTGTTTTCTCTCCTCTCTCTCTTTTCCTGGCCCCAGGGAGCTGTGCTCTTGAGGCTGCAGGGCCCCGTGGAGCTCCTGTGAAACCCCATTTCCTGTCTTTTCAATGACCAAGTCCCTCCCCTCGGACTCTCTGACTTTCGTCCCATATCGGGGAGCGGGGGAGTGGGGAGCGTTTCTAGGCCAGAACTCCTAGCCACCAGGATCACAGAAGCCTGCTGGCCCCGCAGCTCCAAGCAGGCAGAAACGCTAATTGGCATTAACAGAGACCAGGCCTGCAGCTCACAAAAGATTCCCTCTTCCTGACCAGAGCCTGCCTGGGGCGCAGCCAGCCTGCTGGCTTCTGGTGTCTGCTGGTAAGGGGAGGGGGGCGTTGAGGAGGAAGGGGGCAAGAGTGGGGTGACCCACTGCAGCTGCCCTAACCCGAGGCTCTTCTTGCCCAGCAAGAGGCTGGCCCTCTTTCCTGGCCCTCATCACAGCTTCTCTGGTAGTTCAGAGCACATTAAAGACTGTCTCCTCAAAGCCTGCTCTGTATGCTTATTTTAATCTAATCTCACTTGGAACAGAAAGGCCCTGAAATCAAACTGCCTGTGCCTTCCTATGTGTGACCTGCAAGAGAAAAAATTGCTGCCTCTGTCTTTGGAACTGTGCTACCTACCTGGCTGGGGTGCTGGGAAGAAAATGCTGTCCATGGCGGTCTGCCCCTGGCATGCAGCAGGCACCCGTACGCTATACGCCGCAGCAGCTCCACGCTTGTGACGGCTGCTTCTTATGCTCCATCCTCTCTGCTATAGAAAGCTCTTGTTCTAAGCAGACTCCTCAGTGAAGTTTGCTGACAGGATACAAGGGAGGGAAGGGGGAAAAGGCAAACTTACCATGGTTTGGGCTGGGTAACACTGTAGCTCCGTCGGTGGAGGTGGAGTGTTTGCTGAGCATGCAGGAGGTCCTGGGTTTGATCCAGAGAGGCACAGAACCTGGAAGGGGTGGTGTAAACCTGTAACTTATGCACTAGGAAGGTGGAAGCAGGAGGGTTGGAAGCTCGAGGTCATCCCTGGCTACGCAGGGAGCTTGAGGTCAGCATGGGTTACGTGAGACCCTGTCTTAAAAATGAAACAAAGCAATCACCAAACTTTTGAGTAGACAGAAAAGGACGCCCATTTAACAGTCACCTAACAGACCATTACTGCATAGGTGCTCTCCAACGGCACGTTTCTCTCTGAGTAAACTGTTTCCCAATTCCTATTGGTTCCCTTTAAGATGTAAGCAATCATCCTTTAGTGTGAATGAGTTATAAGCTTGATTGAGGGGAAAGATACGGTTTGAAAGCCTTTGAGCCTCTACAGGAAGAAGGGGTTTTTGATATGGAAAGCACCAAAGGAATGCCAATTTTGCAGGAAGCTGGGCCTACAAAAATTGAGTGCAGGGGGCTGCAATTCCCTCAGCAAAAGTTTGGATGTGACTAAACCTCATATTCAAGACTGCCTTTCCTTGTCTTGATCCTAGATCCTTTATGCCAAGGAGTATGGGACCAAAATGATCATTGATTATCTACATCACAGGCCTGCACAGAAGGTACGGCTGTGTTTGTTCCTAGCTTCTCTTTCTCTTAGGATAGGAGCCATCCCTAAGCAATCTCAATCCAAAAGTGATTTCATTTGCTGGGGAAATATGAAGACCATCTCTTGCTGGTATGAGGTTAAACACACAGGGAAATCTAAATGCAATTTTCCTGTTTGAGGAGCAGTTACAATATTTTTAAGCAACTGAAGCGTCAAAATTGCAAATGTGATGTACAGTTAGGCCTCCACCACAGGAACTACAACATCTGCAGTTTACACAACAGCGGGGCCTCCCGGTGGCTCCCCCCCCGCCCCCCGCCCCCAGCGCAGAACCTGCAAGTGTTTCACAAGTGAAGATGTTCTGGGAGACCTGGGCCCGTTTTATTGGTGCTTGGCTTTTGGCTGGGGCCATTTAAAGTAAATGTTACATGGGGAAAAGCAGGAGGAAAGATGTTACGCCAAGTGTCAGAGCCATAACACATTTTTTAATGGCTTTATTTATCAACACTTACTGGCGTTTGCAGCTAACAAACTCTCTAGTCCATCCCCAATGAGTGTTTGCAGTAAATTTAAAGGACTTGTCTTGCCTTTGGCACAGAAAAGATGACCCAACCCGGATCCTTGTGTCATTTCGCAGAGATGATCGCTGGCAGAGACAGACTGAGGATGCAGGCAGAGGGCACAGATACAGATGCCACCAACCAGACACACTTTGCCCTCAGCCATTCCCCAGTTGCTATTGTCTAAATGTTTGTTTCCCTCCCGTGGCTGTTCATACGTTGCTATGACAAATGCCCTGACCTAAAACAACACTGGGGAGGAAGGGTTTTTTTTGACTTATAATCTCAAGTTCCAGTCCATCATTTCGGGGAAGTCAAGGCAGGGATTCACACAGCTGCCACATGGCATATGCAGCCAAGAGCAGAGAGAAACGAACGTACCCGTGCTGCCTGCTTGCCATTCTCATCGCACTTTCTCTGCCTTGTAGATCTGTACCACCAGACTGGACTCAGTTGGCAGATTTTACCCCTGAACCGCCATGCTGGGCTTGGCAGGGGGACTAAACTAACTGACTCTTTCTGGTTGAGTTACTGTAACGAAGACCCACACAGCAGCACTTTAGGCAAGATAAAGTTGATTTTTTTTTCTCCCAGGAGTTTGTGGTAGCTCTGCCCTACACAAGTCTGAGGAGCTCAGGCGCCTTCAGCTTTGTGGCTCACTTCATCCATGGATGAACTCACCTTGTTCCACACAGCCACACTGCAGCCTGAGAGAGACGCAGGAAAGAGAAACACAAGAGTGGGCGTGTCCACTAGCCAGGACTTCCACCTATACCATGCCTAGCTGCACTGGCAGGAAAGAGAAACACAAGAGTGGGCGTGTCCACTAGCCAGGACTTCCGCCTATTACCATACCTAGCTGCAGGTAGGGGCCATAGCACCAATGAAAATATTTGGCCCCCATGAAAGAAGAAAGAAAGAGTGACTGGGAGCCAGGCCATCAGGTGAGATGACAGAGTTTGCCCAACAAGGGTGTTCACACTGTGGGAAGAGGGGACAAGACAGCGGAGAATCACTGAGATTCACAGAGTGAATCGCACTGACAGGCCAGCTCTACCTGCTGCTCTTCCTGTGTGGGCCAGAACTGTTCTGGTTTGAATGTGAGAAGCTTCCTAAAAGCCTCTCAAAGCTTGTGTCAAGCTGGTGGGGCTGTTTGGAGAGGGCGTGGGACCTTTAAGGGGTAGAGCCTCACCAGAGGAAGTGGGTCACAGGGACAGGCCTTGAGGTTTTATAGCCAGCCCAACTTTCTGTCGTCTGTTTTCTGATCCACCTCGTTGTGAGCAAGTAGCCTCAAGGTCCTGCGGTCACAGCCAAGATGGGATGAACTGCCCTTTCAAACCATGAGCGAAACAAACCCTTCTCCATTAAGTTGCTTCCTATCAGGTGTTTGGTTGCAGCACTGAGAAATACAAAGGGCTTGTCTTCTTTCTTTACATAGGTGTGATTTGGACTTCTGGTGCCTGAACTAAAGAGTTCTGCATAGCATAGGCCACCAGATAAATGGCCATAAGAAAGAAGAGGGGCCAGAGAAAGGTCACAGTGGGTAATGTGCTTCCCTGGCAACCATGAGGACTGGTGTTTGGATCCACCTATAAAGACAAAGGGCACAGCAGACGACTGTAATCCCAACATTAGAGGTGGAATCCTTGGGTCAAGTTGGTTAGCCAGGCGAACTGAAAGAGCAAGCTCTGGGCTTAGCTTAGAAACCCTGCCTCAGGTCTAGGGAGCTGATTCAGTAGCTAGTGCACTTACTGCTTTTGCAGAAGACTGGAACTGGGTCCCAACACCCACATCAAATGGCTCACAGCTGTCACATCCAATACCTTTTGACTTCCAAGGGCACCACACACACGGTATACATACACACATACAGGCAGGCCTATACACATAAATTTAAAAAATTAAAGAGAAATTTCCCTCAATATACAGCATGAAAAGCAGTTGAGGAAGACCCTGACATTAACCTCAGGGACACACACAAGCAGACATGCACATACATACTCATGCATACCACATACATATACACATGCAAAAAGGGGGAAATGGGGGCAAAAATACCATAAAGAGGAAGACAGAGTCATGGGGAAATGGCAAGCTGAGGAAATAGCAAGCAGAAAAGCAGAATCCTCAGAGAGAAATGTGCCCAGAGTCAGTGGGTGGCAATGGGGAGGAAGCAAAGGCACAAGGAAGCTGAGTGACCCGAACTGCTGCTTCTGCCTGCAAAGGTCCTTCCTCCAAGCCATTCTGAGGTTCTAAATGACATCTCATGCAGTGACAGTCTAAAGGAAATTGGATCACTATTCAAAACATTCCCTGTCCCTCCTTTGGTGTCCTCTCTAAACGTGGGTGGAATATTGCTCCCCTGGTGTCAGACTCGGCCATGTGTTAAGTTTTAGCCAATAAAATGGAAGGAAATCATTAAGAACCTCTGTTGGTCAGCCATGGTGGCATAAATGTTTAATCCCAGTACTCTGGAGGCGGAAGAAGATAGATCTCTGTGAGTTCATAGCTAGCCTGGTCTACATAGCAAGTTCCAGCCCAACCAGGGCTACACAGTGAGGCCATCTCTCAAAACAAACAAATAACAACCAAAACAAACAAACAAAAAACACTGTGACTAGTCCTGGTAGATACACCAATAGGGAAACTGTAAAGAGGATGAGACAGGAGATCATGAATTCAAGTTTGGCCTGCGTATTCCAGCTGAGCACTATAATCCCAGCACTCAGGAGGCTGACCCTGGAGGACTGCTTCAGGTTCTAGACTAGCCAGTGCTGGTGAGACAGCCCTGCAGGGAAAGGTGCCCGCTACCAACCTTGACTATCTGAATTTGACCCCAGCATCCACCTGGTGGACAAAGAAAACCAACTCCTGGAAATTGTCCTCTGATCTCCATACTCCATAGGCATGCTGGGACATGTGTACACCCCTCCACACACATACACACACACACATTTGCGCACAAAATAAATACATAAATATTAAAAATAATAAAAATTATAAAGTACCAATGTGTTCTCCTTTTGCCTGGGTTTCAAAGTGAGGAAAATCTGGAGCAGAGCTGCTGCTGACCCCAGAGAAACGCACAGAGGAGATGTAACCTTGTCAAAGGGATCTGAGGCAGGGGGATCTTTTCTACCACAGTATAAACTCACCTAAACTGACAGGTGCAGTATCTTCACGGCCCGCACGTCCTGTGGATCCTGCTCATTCCGGAATTGCGTTGTTCACCTTTCAGAGTTTCCAGAAGCACGTCTCCACACACTGTCTCCTCATCTGTCCTTGCAAGCCACAGGGCCTAGCCCTTGACGCGTTGGAGAGTTCTATCCACTAACCTGGAAGTGACAGCCCTGGTACGTCCTGATGGAGTAGCTCTTTTACGAAGACCCTTTCCAGTTCTGCTGCCCAACACTGTAGCACCAAGAACATATGAAATCGGTGTGACTGTTGCAAAGTTGAGGAATCTCATGATTTTAAGTACAGTAATTTCATCGTATCAAGTTCCATAGTTGAATATATTCAGGATTTCTGTGGTAGATGTGATTTTTCAAACTTAAGGATATTTAGTTTCCAGAATATTCTGCATTATCAGTGATGGTAACTATGGAGGTGGTGATGGTGATAGTGGTGGTGATGATAGTGGTGATGGTGGTGGTGATGGTGATAATGGTGACATATAAAATATTCAAAGCGTTTTCTAAATTTGTTGCCTTTTAATTCACAATGTCCTACAAATGTTATCCCCATTATCCATACAGGGAAGCTAGAGATGAAGAAGATGGAGAAATTCTGCAAATTACAGTGTTAGAAACTTCTGGCACCATTTCTTGAAGCTTTTTTTCCTCTGTTGCTTCTCTCTGTTGCCACCTGCTAAGTGGCAGACATCCAGACCACAGTGGACGCTCACCTCCATGACGGGTGCTGGGAATTAATTAGAGACTAAGTAAATGAATAGAAGAATGCATAGCTGAATGAATGGGTGCGTTAATAGGTGGGTAGATGACAGACAAATGGAGAAGTAGGTTTATAGAAAGATAAATGGATGGGTACATGGGTAGATGAATGGATGGGTTTCCTCTGTGTGGATGGACGGGGAGACAGATGAATGAAATTCTTGGGGCCTAAGGGGAAAAGATAAAGATGTTTTCTCAAGTCTAGAAAATACACACAAACTTGCCTAATCCTTTGCCACCTAGAGTGCCCTACACTCGGCTAATTGGCTAACCCTGTCTGCTCAGGTCGTTCACTCTTTCCTCTCATCTAACAACAGATTGCTTTACCCACAACGGTGTCTGTTCCAGGTTCATTCCACTTCTCCAGACCCCAGAGATGGACAGCACCCCCTTCACTGGTCTTGTGTTTGTGTGTGGGGGGGGGGGTGGAGGCAGATAACACAGAGATCAGTTGGTAAAGTGTGCCTGGGCTATATAACTCTCCAATACATGATTACTAAAACTCTTTTTTAATCTCTATAGTTTAGGATAGTTGCCTGAGGAAATCAAAAGCCCACTAAACATGCCATGTTGTGATTATGGTCTTTAGCACTTTTTCATTAGTAGTGGAATCTGCAATAATACAATAACCTTTATTTTATTATGCAGCCCTTGGAAATTGAGGGTTTCATCCATGTCAATTAATTTCTTCGCAGCCCACGTTGGCAGTGACAATCAGAATGTCAAAGTGTCTCTGAGGAATCCTAGGAAATCTGAGGCACTTTACAAAGAGCCCGCCCTGGGTGAGAGACCAGCCGGAATGAATCGTTAATATACTTCACTAGAAGGGGACTCTTCCAAAATGCTAATCCAATCAACCCACAAGGCAAACTTCAGGCTTCTTGTTCAGTGATCACACAGACGACCTTAAGGTTGGGGCACTCCTCTGGGGAGTCCAGAGGCTCTGTTCCTCAAAGCAGGGAGGAGTCACGACCCCAGTATGTCACAGCTGCTGAAAGTGGGGCCTGCGGGGCCCATAGGTACCTCCCGTCACAACCAGCCAGGACAACACAGACTGACTGCAGCCACCTGGGCTCTCCAAGGAGCCCTCACATCTTTGGAGAAGGCATATGAAGAAATAAGCGAGCTGTTTTGAAGAAATGCCCAAACCCAGCATTTGCTCCAGAGAGTACCTCAAAGGGTCCTCAGCCATCCCTTGATCCCTGCACTCCTATATGAATCTTTATTAACAGATAAGACATGCTTGAAAAATATAAACTATCAATCTTCGCCACAGAGACAAAGAACTAGCCCAGGGCCAGCATCCTATCAAATCTCCAGCCACATCCTTTGCTCTGGGCTTTTCTCTTGCATGATCCTCTCCCTGTTCTTTTTTTTTTTGTTCTTTTTTTCTTTTTCTGTTTTTTTTTTTTTTTTTTTTTTTTTTTGGTTTTTTCGAGACAGGGTTTCTCTGTGATTTTGGAGCCTGTCCTGGAACTAGCTCTTGTAGACCAGGCTGGTCTCGAACTCACAGAGATCCGCCTGCCTCTGCCTCCCGAGTGCTGGGATTAAAGGCGTGCGCCACCACTGCCCGGCTTTCTTGTTTTTTTTTTTCTTTTTTTTTTTTCCTCTCCCTGTTCTATCCCCTGAAAGTTCTTACTCATCCTACATGGCCCAGTTCATGGGTCACCCTCTGGGTAGAAGTTCCAGGCATAAGTACTCTCCATCTCGTTAGAAGAAATGGGTTGATGAAGTGAGCGAAGGTTCCAAGTGCTCTTGTTCAGCTTTTTTGTCTTGTTTTGTTTAGACTTATTGATGTGTATGGTGTTTTGTTCCCAAGCGTGTCTATATACCACATGCTAACTGGTGCCCAGGGAGGTCAGAAAAGAGTGTCAGATCCCCTGGAACTGGACTTATAGACAGTTACAAACTGCTGGGAATTGAACCCAGGTCCTCTGGAAGAGCAGCCAGTGCTCTTAATCACCAAGCCATCTCTCTAGCTCCTTTGTTTGTGTTAATATTAGAATCATATCATATTGTGTTTTGGTTACACTTCCCTTCTGTCTGGAACACCCTTCCCCGCCCATAAGCAAGCTATTCCTGTTTGTCATTCTGGTCTCAGTTTAGAAGTCACTTCTGCCTTGCTTGACACATCCCCAGCTCAGACACGTGACTATGTGCATCTATGGAGGGATGGTGCACTGGTGGGGTTTGACGTCCATGACTGTGTTTGGCAACCCTGCCCTAGATGGTGTCTGACATCATCTGTCCAGTGATTTCATAGATGACACTGGGGCTCAGAAGTCCCCAGGTGTCTGTGCTTGGTGACACCCATTGCTGTTCTTGGCCCCTCCAGATGCACAAAGGTGAAGCAGGCTTTTCTCCTTCTCCTTTGGGAGACATCTGAGCTGAAACTCTAGGCACCGGGGGTGGAGGGAGGGCGTGGGGAGAAGTGGGAAGGGAGAACGATGATGGACGGAGTAAAAAGACACCATGAGAGGCGAGCAGTTTCCTGAACCTAAATATCAGGAAGCTGCAGCATCCTCGTGATAGTGGGAAAACGGTAAGTGCTTCGTGAAAGCATGTAGCCCCTCCTCTACCCCCGTCTGCCTCCAAAGTCTACTTCTCCAAACAGGTCTCTTAGGACTGACACCTCAAAGGCAGGCATGACCCATTTCAAATCCTGCCTTCACTTGCTATTAGCTGTGCAACTTCAGGCTGATTGCTTGGCCATTCTGAGCTTCATTTCCACATTCGCTTAAGGCTAAGCCTTACAGAGGTGAAATGAGGATTAAACACGGGCAGTGCACCTGGCACCGGGAAAACGTTCTAGCAATGTTTGCTGTTGTTATTATTCTTCAGCTTGTCAGTCAGGTGGAGCTTGAACAAGAAACAAGTGTGTAACATGACCCCATCCCTCCGCATTCCTCCCCCCAACCTCTTTTCAGACAGGGTTTCTCTGTGTAGCTCCAGCTATCCTAGAACTCACTTCTGCAGACCGGGCTGGCCTCAAACTCAAAGATCTTCCTGCCTGTGCCTGCTAAGTGCTGGGATAAAAGGCTAGCACCACCATGGCAGGCTAACTCCTCCGCATTTCAACCCAGTCCCTAATTGAAGCCCAGAGAAACGCAGATGATCCACTGCAGGCAGAAGCTCCACCCCTCACAATGTTATGGTCTTCCCACTTTATCATCAGCAAAATGGCTCAACTGGGTAACTAACTCACCTCACTCCTTTCTGTGGTCTCAGTACAGCCAAGGATGAGCTGGCCCTCTGGATAGAAACTGGTACTTTTCAGCGGTGTGAACGTGGGTGACTTGCTTGGCCTCTCTGAGCTCACTTCCATCATCTGTAAGATGAGAATGGCCATTATAGCTCCCGCCTTATACGAGGACCACTAATCTGGCAAGGAAGCATGTCTGGTACACTGGGACTATGGCAGAAGAGTCTGACACTGTTATCTTGCTGTCTTATCTTGCCAGCAAGTTGGTTACATGGCTAACGGAGGAGGAGGGCATCTAGTCTCTGACAGAGTCTGTGTTCTTCCTGAAGTCCAGGTTCGACATGGTCACAGCTCTATTCCTAGCTCGGGCTGGGGACTGACCCCTCCTCAACTGAAGAAGAGCTCTCCTCCTCACGGTACCTCCTAACCTCCCTGTCTTCCCAAACAAGCAATGCTCTGCCTCTCACGGGTACCGCTATTCTCAGAGTCATTGCCTGCAAAAGCATCCTTTCCTGCACTCTGGAGTCTGGGAAATACGGTCCTTACATAAGGACAGAGGAACCTGAGCTCTCTGGACTGGGTAGCTGCTCAGGCTGGCTCGGTCCCCCACAGGCAGACAGAACCCTGATCTGGCTGTGAGACATGACAACACACTGGGTGGCTTCTGCAAGCTTTGCTCTACCTGTCTGTAAGGAGAGATGGTGGCTGATCTCTGGGGACATCTGACTGGCCTGGGTTTTATTCCTAAGTTGGCATCCCCTGCCCTCATTCTTGTGTTACCCAAAGAACTGCTGGTATCCTGAAAGTGTGGGGGCCGTCTCTATTTTGTCATATATGGAAGGTGGTCCCATGGGAGCAGGCTAAGAGATTATGGAAGAGGAAAGGACTCCTAACTCCCTACCTCCCACTATTTTTTTCCAGGAGCAGACCGGGGCCCCACCTCCACCCAGGTGCCCAGAGGCCTGAGAAGCTGTCGAAAGCACTGAACCTGATGTGTCCAACTGCAGGAGATACAGCCATCTCCTCCAGATGCAGGCTAAAAATACAGAGGACCGAGGTCCCTCAGTAATGGAGACTTTAAGAGCCTGTGACATGCGGCGACGGCTGCGTGGACGCTAATGAGCTCCTAGTCGATCGATGCCCGAGACCCAAGTGAGCGTGTGGGCCGGGAGCAGAGACGGGGTGTCACTCGGCATTTGTCCATCCTGACTCAAACCTGGAATGTTGGTGCGGGCCAGGAGATTGGGGATCAGCTTGAGTGACCCCTTAACATTCAAATAGGAAGACTGAGGTCAAGTGACAGGGAATTGGAAGGCAGGTTATGGAGAGCCAAGGCTTCAAGGGACCTTAACCAGATCTTGCTTCTCTCTCTGCCCCATCCCCAGCTTTGTATTTCAAGGTCCAGCACAGAGCTTTATAGACCATGCAAAGGGATGAGAGTTGAGCACTGAATGAATGAATGAATGAATGAGTAAATAAATAAATATTTGCCCCCTGCAATGTGGGGTTCTCCAGTGCAAGGGACTATGCTTTGGTTTTCCTGTGGCCCCAGGAGTACCCAGCACCACGCAGATGCTCAGAAAGGATTTGCTGAATGAGTGAATTACCCCTTCTGCCTGTGAAGACAAGGAAGCCTGTGAAAATCGTGTCCAGCGTCTATTTTCACTGGTCCTAGCACTCAGAGAGGATAGTCCTGCAAGCTGGAGAGAACAAATAGCAGAACAGCACAGCAAACATGGCCTGGACGTGTTGCAGGCACAGTCCTGAGTTTTACACAATTCATCTCAATCCTCATATCAACTCTATGCTGCTGCTCAATTTTTATACCCATTTTATGCAGGGGAAGGCTAATAGAGCTCACAGAGGTATTGCTCTTTGCCCTGCATTGTGCTTAGAAAATTTTCAAGCCAGGATTCAAACTCAGGCCGGCCTGTCACTCCCTAACCACTGAACCACCTTGCCTCTTTATGGTACAGCAGGAGAGGACCGCAGAATCGTGGACCAAAGAAATCCATGCGAGATAGAGGGAAAAGGAAAAAAAACCCACACCTCTAGGGCCCATAAAGTGTTTGATAAATTCCAGGAGAAGAATAGGAAGAAATAATGAGCATTTGTCAGAGTCTTTTATAGCATGTAAGTCGCTTTTCCCTGCATTCTCTCATCTGATCTTCACCGCAGGCCTGGGAGCAAGGTATTATCATTATCTACATTTTATTGGTGAGGAAAGGAAGGCTCTCACACCTCCCAGCCTGAGCGGGCAGACTGCACACCTGGGGGGCGGGCAGTGAGACGGTGCAGTGATGAAGGCTGTCAGAACCTCTCCCCCAACCGTCTCTGGCTCACAGGGTAATGCAGGCTGAGGCTCTTGCCTGCCTGTTACAAGCACAAGGGAAGGGCCAGCAGGGGCCACAGCCCTGCTGAAGACCTTCTCTTCTGGAGAGATAGCGAGGACACGGTGGCCCTGTCCAGGCCAGGCCCTCAACTCCCCTTTGAGCGGCCCATTCTTTTGGCAGCTCTTCATTGTTTGTGCACTGGAGAAAGCAGAGGCACCAGCCAGCAACACCGTGCTTGGCAGTGGGAAAAATCAGCTCTGGTGGAAGAGTTTAATTAAGCTGAAGCCAACCATGGTGGCTCACGCTTGTCATCCCAGCAATCTAAAGGCAGAGACAGGAGGATTGCTGCTAATATGGGCTACGTAGTGAGTTCCGGGCCAGCCAGGGTTACATAGTAAGACTCTGTCTCAAGAACACAAAACAAAGCAAACCCAAAAGGAGCTTGCTTAAGACGTAGAAGTGTTACCGGTTCACAACAGAAACTGTGTGTGGAAGGAGACACGAGTCCACCACATTCTTCTGGCTCCCCTGGCTCCCAGCTGCTCTGACAGGAATTTGACCCTTGGAACATGTGGCCAAGGTTGGGCAGAGAAGAAATGTCGTGACCCCTCTGAATGTTCCCCACAAGAACCCCAAGTTCAGATCTGCCGTAATGGGGACTTGGTGCATGGCTCCCACTCTGTACCCAGTCCCACATCTCCAAAGGGGGCAGGAGGGCCAGGAAGCTGCTGCCTGCACGCTGGCACGTCCTTAATTTGCTATTGATTGATCTAGCTCTGCAAAAGCTTTACCACCTACACTGTATCAGTTCATATGGATGCCTCAAAAAGACAGCAACAGCAACAGCAAAAGCCCACAAAAAAGAACCAAAAAACCCAAAAGCCTTGCATGGTGATACATGACTCTAATCCTGTAACTTAGAAGATAGAGCTGCAGGCCAGCCAGGGATATATAGTGAGATCTTGTCTCAAAATAACAATAAAACTCAGATATATGCAAAAATGATAACCGAGTTTTTATGCAATTGCATTTTTTTTTCTCATTTCATAGCCCTGCGATTGAAAGGGGAAACACAGAGAAAGACTGCTCCTTCAGGATTCAGACATGCTTTCTGCAGAGATGAGCCCAGCTGCGTGCCAGGGGCTGGGCTAGGATCTGAAGCTGCCGTACTGGGCCAGTCTGTCATAGACGGCAGGCATTTCAGGCCCAGAGGATGCACCAGTGATCTCCACAAGATGTCAGGAAAGGCCCTGACCCCGTGCTGCCGAAGGAGGTGGGACTAGAGGCAGATGCGGTGGCCATAACACACTTCAGCTCTGGGATCAAGCTGCAGTGTGAGCTATGCTATTTTGAGCTTGTGACTTTGGACGAGTAGCTTGGCCTCTTTGTGACTCGGTTTCCTTATGTGTGAAATCAGATTATTACGGCAATGAGACTGTAAGGACTGAGCTAACTCCTACAGCACTCAGAATGGTGCCTGGTCAACAGCAGAATTTATGGCGTGTCAACTGTCATTGTTTTTACTTCATAAGTTGTAAGACTTGGATATGGAAAGACGTTTGGGAAACACTTAGCCCAGAGTAAGTGCTCAATAAAGATAAGCTGCTATTATTTTTGTTATTAAGTAGCGGTTGTCATTGCCGGCCAGGTGGGCGGGAGGGAGGAGAGGAGAGGAATCCAAGGCAGAGAGGACAGCATATGCAAAGGCCTGGAGGCCAGACAGAGCCTGGTGCATTTGGCAAAGTCAAGAAGCTCAATTAGACTGGCACACAGCCTGGGTTCCAGGGACGAGGCAGAAAGGCCTTGGGAAGGTGGAGGCTGAGAGGCTGGACCTCAGGGCATCTGGGATAGTGAGCCTCCCTCCCCCCATGCGCGCATTGGCACTGTGAGTGCCTGGGTTGATGAAGGCTTGCGGGGGGGGGGGGGGCGGGATATGAGCAGTGTAAGGGGGCTGCCTGGGTCTAGTCCCTTCGAGCCTGGCACTGCTCTTCCAGGAACCGCCAGCTATCAATTAGGGAGTCTCAGTGCAAGAGGCTCACCTTTCTCATGTGACACATGTCACATCCGCGAACACTCAAAACAGCTTTGCCTTGGCAAAGCGTCTTGTGCTGTGTGTTTGTTCTTCGATGTCTGAATGTAACTCTTGTCGTTCCCTAGATGCCTGTGATTTGCTGGTCTCTGACAGCCATTACCTGCTCGGAACCTCTGCCTGCCACACGCCCACCTGGTGCACCCTGTTCCTTCCTCTCTTAGCCGTTCTTGTCGTAGTTGATTCTACTTCAGGCCGAGGGGTGGGATAGCATGAACTGGGAATGCTGGCCAGAGTTTAGAAATCGCCTCCACCTCTTAGGAACATGGAACTGCTACTCAACAACCTTGGCATGCTTATTGCATTTCACTGAGAACTGGACCACGTCCACGTAGTTGATGAGTGTTCCTGAAGGGTAAGATTTGAACTCACATCTCTGCCACTGCACACTTGCTCCTGGAGCAGCCTGCCTCTCTTTCCAGCTCTCTAGCTCCCCACCCAACTGATCCTGAAGAGAAGAATGGAGATTCAACATGAGCAGCTTGGTCAATATAGGAAACCAGCTCATCAGACCCCGAGGCTTTATCACCCCTGAGAAGGACCCCCCCCCACAGATGTGTAATCAACCAATGTTGGCCTCCAAATCTTGTCCCCCTTTCAAAGCCAGTCCCTTGTTCACCATCAGCAGTGGTAGCCTGGCTCCTCCATCACTTCCAGAGACAAGCCCCACTGTGAGTTCTGTTATCAAGCAGTCAGTTCAAGGT